GGGAAGTTTTCTTTCATTATTTTTTCAAATAAGTTTTCAACTTCTTGTTCTTCCTTTTCTTCTGGCTCCCCTGTGATTTGGAGGTTGGTACATTTAAAGTTATCCCAGAGGTTCCTAAGCCTCTCCTCATTTTTTGAATTGTTTCTTCTTTCTATTCTGGTTGAATGTTTAATTCTTCCTTCTGTTCCAAATCATTGATTTAAATCCTGGCTTCTTTCCCTTCACTGTTGGTTTCCTGTGTATTTTTATTTATTTCACTTTGTATAGCCTTCACTTCTCCCTTTATTTTGTGGTTGTGCTCAATCATTTCTCTGAGCAACCTGACCACCAGTGTTTTAAACTTTGTATCTGATAGGTTGGCTATCTCAGTGTCACTTTATTCTTATTCTGAAGTTTTGGTCTGTTCTTTCATTTGAGCGATATGTCTTTGTCTCCTCAATTTGGCAGCCTCCCTATGTTTCTGTGTATTAGGTAGAGCTGCTTTGACACCCTGTGTTGGCGCGCCTGTTATGATGTAAGGGGCATAGCCTTAGGTATTCATGGCAGTGCAGTCCGCCTTGCCACTCTGCACTGTGTGTGGAAGAGGGGGCAGGGAGGGAACAATGCCACTTGTTCAGCTCTCACCCAGTTTCCAGTTACTTCCCCCACTTCCCGAAAGCAACTGCCCCCTTCTAGCTGCTGCCCTGTGCTGATTCCCAGAGTGAGTGGGTTTATGTACCTTATAGTATCTTGTGGACCCTTTAAATGGGCTCTCCTGAGAGACGGGCAGTTTCTTCTGCCACCCCAACCCCCACTGGTTTTTGTGGTCATGAGGCTTTATTTCCCTGCACTGGTACCCTGAGCTGGAAGGTCTAGCCTGAGGCAGGGATCACTTGCTCCCCAGTTGTTATCCACAGGTGAATTTGGGACTGCCCATTCTGCCACCCCACCACGCCATACTGCGTCCTTTCTGCCCCTCCTACCTGTGTGGATGAATGTTTCTTCTTTAAATTCTTGGTTATTGGCCTTCTATACAGTTTGATTTTCTGGCACTTCTGTTTGTTTTCTGTTTTTATATTGGTTGTTATGTTTCTTATGGTTGGGCAGGGAGGGAAGCAAGTCTACCTATACCTCCACCTTGGTGAGAAGTATCAGATTGTTAGCATATTTAAATCCTTGTCTTCTGTATTGATAAGCCTTTCTAAAGATAAACTTATTCTCTTATTTCTGGTACAGCAAAGGAGACACCTTACAAATGGAGATTTCCCTTATAAAGTAAATGTCTTTTATTAAAAGTAACTTCTACTTGGATTTCAGAGCTTCTCTTTTATGTTGTTTCTTAAAATTAGCAAGACTAAAATAATCCTTATGCCAAAGAGACATATTCTGGAGTGACAAAAATCTGTTCCCCTACAGCTGTTAGGCTGCAAACCTGTACAGCCTGTCAGTGTACTGAATACTGTAGGCAATTGTAACACAATGGTATTTGTGCGTTGCATTGCACTAGAATGTTCAGACAGCTAGATGTCACTTGGCAATACGCATTCTTTGGCTCCATTTTAATCTTATGGGACCACTGTTGTATATGTGGTTTGTCTTTGACTGAAATGAAAGGTTGTTATGCAGGGCTGGATTGTGTATCTTCTTGGATTTTGTATTATTCAGATTTTCCCTAAAAAGGTTATACTCTTTCAGTTTAGAACTATATATAATCCATTATTTGATTCACCATTTTGATGTAGAGAACATCCAAACCTATGGAAAACTTTTATAAGAGTTTGTTTGAGCCAAACTGACTACATACCAGGAGCAAGATCTCAAATGCTTCAGAGAAAAATGTTTCCCAGAATAACAGTTTGCCGTTTCTTTTTATACTTGTGTAATTGGTGGGGGGGGGGGGGCGCATGAGGGAGATTACAGGAATTACAAGATTACATGGGATGGGATTGATTGCAGGGTAGTTAACAAGATTATGTGCTCCCTTGAGGGTGGGCTGAAAAAGGCATCCCAAAGGTTTATTAACCTAGATGTACAAAAACAGTAGAGAGAGGATCAAGAAAACAAGTGATAACCAAATGTTGGAGAGGTTGTGGAGAAAAAAGGACCCTCATTCACTGCTGGTGGGAATGTAAACTGATCCAGCTGACACTGGGAAAGTCCACACACAGGCGTTCGTGCTGCCTGTCACCACCAGGACCAGTAAGCAGAGACAGGGAGTGGATCTTTATGGACGCCTTATTCAGATGCCTTTGATCTGAGAAGACGGAGGTTTATATAACCTAACAGACTGTCTTACATTCCATTTCAAACTCACTCTTTTTAAAAGGAGAAGAAAAGTGTGGGTAAGGGATTTGGAATTTAGGGAAAAGGTTAATCAGATAAAAAGCTGCAGCATTCTTTCATCTGTGGACCTGTGATTCATTACCTGTGTTCAGGGCTGTGGTCTTGATCTGTGCGGAGGGTGTGGTCTGGAGCACAGTGGCTCAGGTGCCACCTTGACTGCTGGAGTCCTCCCCATGGTCTCCTGCAGTCAGGGTGGGTCACACCTTCAGTACCTGAAACAATAGCTTTTCACATGCATCAAGTACTAAGTTTATTGATATTAACTAAAACTGAAATTTTCCAATTCTTGAGTCCTCTCATCACAGCCACTCTGGAAAACAGTATGGAGGTTCCTCAAAAATTAAGAATAGAGTTACCATAGGGCCCAGCAACCCCTCTTCTGAGTATCTACCCCCAAAATTTGAGAACATATATTTGCAAAGATATGTGTACCCCATGTTTTTTGCAGTATTATTCACAGTGGCCAAGACAAGAGTTGTGAATAAAAGAGGTTAGCTAAAGAAGGTATGGTGCATATATATAATGGAATCCTGCTCAGCCATAAGAAAAGATGAAATGTTGCCACTTATGACAACATGGATGAACCTTCAGAATATGGTGCTAAGTGAATAAGCCAGTGAGAAAAAGCTAAGAACCATGTGATCTGACTCCAATGTGAAATATAAAAATGAAACTCACAGACAACATTATGGTGCTTACCAGCAGGAAGTGGGACGGGGGCAGGAAAAGGTAAAGGTCCAGGTACATGGTGACAGACGATCTGACTTTGGGTGGTGGGCACACAGATCGTGTCAGAAAAGCACACCTATATAATCATATTAAACAAGGTCACCCAATACATTAAATTTTTTAAAAAAATATTTACAGTGGTTAAAAAAGTGGGCAGGGCTCATTTAAGGTAAAGATAACCTTTCACTGGGGAGGTTATAGGTCCGAGGCATGACTCACTCCATGACCTGCCAGGAAGGAATGTATGACCAGGTCCCCCTGTGAGGCTTCTTTCTGTTAGACTTATCACAGCGCCCCTTCTTATCCACAGCTAAAATGTGAGCATTCTTGCTGTTTTATTTAACGTGTATTCAAAATTATAGATGTTACAATTCTTTAGACATTTAATTATTTTGACCTTAGTTCATGAATTTTGTAATTGAGGCCTCAAGTATTTTGTTACCTGAAGTCCAGAAGTTTTCTACATTGGTTTTGTGCATTTATTCATCACTGAAATGATAGGAGTAAAAATGAAAAATTCAATATATGAGCATTATAAGACTGGATCAGGCTACATGAGTTTGAGCTTTCATTAGCTTAATGGCCTTGGACAAGTTCCTTAAACTCTGTGTACAGCGGGAATACATGCATTCCCACTATTTCACCTCCATTCCGGGGCCAAATGGTGGGAGACACAGAGAGAGGGGGGAAAAGCAGAAGGGGGGTTGGCTCCACCCTCCTGGAATCACAGTTCACTGAGCAGAGAGGAAGGTTCCCCTCCCTTACAGGGGTGGTTTCCGTTGCTGCCACCAGCACCGCTGCTGTCACAGGGTTCCTTGGGGCTAGAGTATGAGAGAAGAAAGAAAAAGAGATGAGTGAAAGGGAAGAGGATTCCTCTTCTCTTTCTGAGGATGAGAATTTCTCTTACCTGGTCCTTGAGCCAGAGCTACAGTGCTTTCCCCAGAGTTCTCTCTCTGCCACAGGGGAGGTACCAAGGAAGGTAAGGGTAGGGGGAGGTAAACCCCTGCCAGTTCAAAAGTATCTTTGATTATGGTATTATTCTCTGATTTGTCTTCTAGAAACCTCAAATAGGTGCTCCAGGCATTCTCTCCAGGTTTTATTGTTTCATTCATGGGGCAGTCAAGTTTGTCTACTCCATCTTACCCAGAAGCAGACCCTAAATTTCCTTTTAAAAAAGAGTACTTACCGTACTGCTACCATTCCTTCTGCTTTTCTGATCTAAGACTATTCCCATACTAAGGTACAATTTGAATCCTATTACCACCTTGGAAAATAAAAGCTTTATTAGCTCTCCATTGCTTCTGAGATTAAGCACAGACTCGTTTTAGCATTCCAGTTCCCCAAGTGCATGTACGTCATATTCCAGCCAAATAGTAATAATGCTTGATTATCTGTAGTTATCCTGGTCTACATCTCTCACTTTTATTGAATTCCCTCTGCCTAAAATAGTTCCCTAAACTTTCCATTTCTACCTCCTGAAATGCTACACATCTTTTAAAGCTCAGATGCACGACCTTAAATTTTGTTTCAGTTTTCTGCCCTGCTCTTATGTGTTCCCCCTAAAAGGAGTGTGTGAACTCTTCAGCCTTGGAATAACTGGTATTTTTATTTATGCCTTTTTAAATATTTGTGTGTTTTGGGGTGGTTTTTTATTTAGAGATAAAATAACTTTCTAGCACAGGCAATAGCTCAGATCCACTAGATTCAGATAACATTTAGTGCCTGCCTCATACTCTTCTATAATAACTTTTTGAGACACTTATTATACATCTCATTCATCTGAGGACACTGAGGGTAAGTAAAGTAACATTATTTTAACTTTCTACAATGGCTGTGAGTTTCTTGAGTGTAGAAATGTCAATATTCAGTTTTCTACCATCTACTTCCTATCATACAGTAGCTACTCAATAAACATAACAAAAGCCCTAACTTTTTTCTTCTTCCTACAGTACCTTGGCCACGTAGAAGTTGATGAGTCAAGAGGAATGCACGTCTGTGAAGATGCTGTAAAAAGATTGAAAGCTGTATGTATTTCATGGTTGCCAGGGTTGGTCTACATGCTGTAAATATTTTCTTAAAAAGATTTTGCTCAGTAAATTTTAGTGATGCACAATCCAGTAAGAACAGTCTTTCTCTTAAGGCAAAAGAAGTAAGTTCACTAATAAAGAACATCTCATGTTGTCCATCCAAACGTGTAAGTTATGAAGAACAACTTCTTCAATTTAGGCCAGACATTATCCAAAAGATACTTTTGATTAAGAACCCGTATTAAACAATGAAATGAATAACATTCTAAAACCAGGATAAAACTGTTACATTTAGTGTCTTAACTGTGATAACTGGGTTATAAATTACTGTTTTTAAGTCTATGATAAAAAAACAGCTTTCAAGGAAAAAATAGAAGATAGAGATTCTGTGTGGAAGGCTCGTGAGGTTTACTTTTGGGGAGGACTTACTATCTTGACTGCTACTCCCAGTTTCCTTCTCTACACCCTCTAACATAAACAATATATTTCTCTGCCTCTTGCACAAACTGCAGCACACTTGAAATGGAAAAATCCTCTTCTAAGATAAATGTTTACTCTGCCTTTATGCCATAGAACACATTCTAGGCACATGCCTGTGTATTTAATAAAAGGAGAGAATGGGTTCAGAGCTCACAAAGGTTCAGATGGAAGTGTTAATTTCACATTTTGGATATATTTGGGAAATGTTTTGAAAAATCTGACGGCTCCCTTCAACCATTCGTCTCTCCGGTGTGTGGCCTCCCCGCCCCCACCCACCTTTGCTCTGAAAGCTTTAAGCATTACTTCTGCATGCCCTTGCCCCAAATAGCATTAAATACTCGTTGCTTTGGGTTTGCTGGTATGGGGGCTGCCACAAGTTTGGCTACTAATGAGTGCTTTTTTTTCTCAATTTACTTAATAATCAGAACTTTTCTGCTTCTTGGTACATTCTGTATGACCTTTTTTCTATAATTCTTCAATATAAAAGTTATAAAATCAAGAAAGCAACCACTCAGAGAAGTGGATTATATTTTGGAAGAAATGCCCGAGTCTGTTGTAGAAGGGAAAAGAAGAAAAAAATAACTGATTATACTATGCAAAGAAGTAATGAAATAAAAACTAAACCAGTATAGACAGCAGAACACGTATGTACACACACATGCCCTTTACCTTAGATTTTGGGTGTTTAAATTGTTAAACAATTGAAGCCCTCCCTAGTCTGTCTTTGCCCTCCAATGATCATAATGTTAAAGGGACTTACATCCATGTATTTATAGTTTTATAAATTATACAACTATAATTTATAGACTTGCCATATCTACCTGAATATATTCCCTAATTAAATATAGCTACAGATATTGTCACTTTATAAGAAATATAAATTCAATCTCCTCTTTAACAAAATAATTTTAAGTTTGCTAGAAAAATTAATTTAGCTAAGAATATTTTAAAAAGTAATGTAATGATCCACGCTGTAGTCATTTAAAGGACATTTTAAACACCATAAACTAATGACTAAAAGCAGCAGATGAAACTATGAACAGACTAGATATACCTGAAACAAACTATAGTTATTAAAATCTTATAACTCCTATAACTTACTGTTAGAAGGTCACTGTGGAGTCAGCCTTTAGAAAGTCTTTTAACTCAGTGTAGCTTCATGTTTACTCTCTAAATGAGGAAAATCTAGGGATGGTTTAAATTTTCCTAGAAGGTATATATTAAGAAATGGCATTTAGTTGTTTAGTGAGCAGTTAACCTTCTTAACTGTCTAGTTATATTTTAAACATACTTTTAAATAGAAAACATCTGTTTATTATATAGGTAGTGAGAGTTCATTGTATAAAATCCAAATGAACAAAAACAGTATATAAAATCTCTTGCAATCCCAGAGATAGCCACTGTTTGCCTAGTTTTAAAACCAATTTTTTAGTTAAGTGAATGTTTTTGTTTTATTTTACCTTCTTGTATTCTTGGCCAAGAAGATTATAAGCTATAAGCATGATTTGAGTACAGGACTATTTAAATAATAAATTTTAATGGGTTTTTATTTTCACCAGAAATAGGAACCACATTGCCACTTGGTTTAAAACAGTGCCTGGCACATAGTAGCCACTCAAAAAATATTTCTGAAATGAATGCAGAAAACAGTTCAGTCCTCAACATGTGGTCAAGTTGAATCTCATAATAATTACCAGAAGCATAATTATTTTTTATGTTTAAAGTTTATAAAATCCTTTTGCATAATTCTAAAGGATCCTTATTTCCCTGTGGTATTTTATGACTAAAATTAAGTTCTAGATATGTTGATTATTTTTCTGTACATACTTTTTGAACTTTGAGGGGAAATTGACCATTTCTGAAATTTTCATTCAAGAAGTTCTTTCAAATTTTTCAGACCACCCCTATCTAGGAGACTTGGAGTGAAGGGTTACGACTTTATGTAGGGAAACGTGTGTTGTCCGAGATCGAACTAAACGCAGTGCCCCCACCCTGAGGCGCGCACAGTTCTTAGTGCCCTTCATTCTGCTGCTGCTACCACGCGATCAGTAGGGCTGCGTCACTTTCACAGAACTGCGTGCTGGGGTGAGAGCCTGACTTCAGCGACTGGTTGCAACAGTAAGAAATATTTCTGAATTTATCAGAAATAAAAATGAAAAAAAAAAATGCAAACAGTTCCTAAATCAAACACCCTTGGCTAATACTTTCGTTCTCACTGAGTATACGTGAGCCAGTTTTCAGCCCTGGCTACTCTTATTTGACACATATTTCTGCAACTAAATCAATTTAAATGAGTTAAAAGAAAGGAAGTTAAGTTTAAAAATAAAACCTTTTTATTTTCATTTTTGACAAGTTACCAAAAAAAATGTAAAATACACAGGAAGTTTTACTAGATACCTATAGACGTTTGACCGTTAATTTTTCAACATATTTTTTTTCAAATTGAAAGTCCTAATGTTTAAGTAAAAAGCAACTAGCTTTTACTGTGTGTCCCATTCAAATCAATAAACACTCCATCAGTGACATTCATATTCTAGTATCTCTCGTCCTACATTGTACTGTCAGGTATGCGTATTTAAATTAAAGTTATCTTTAATAAAAACGAAAAATAAGATTGAATTTTTAGCTAACTGATGTCAATTTTCTGTTTATTACACTCAAACTTTCCCCTTGTATAATGCTGTACTGAGAAGGCTGCAGAAGGTGGAAGTCTTCAGCTTGTTGTTCTCAGATGCTATTAGTCCACAAAAATTCATGACTTCTCTCTTCACATTTTTACGGTGCAGAAATTTCTAGTTGCCTCCCCTCTTACCAAACATTGATCCTAATGGACATCTATAATCTATAACAAACATCTACGATTAGGTATACCAGATGCTTATGTTTTGCCAAAAGCTCTGTCTCTAGAGGTATTTCAGTTTCTGTTTACATAATAGATCATAAAGCATGCTCTTAGAGTTTCACATAAATGCAAGCAAATGCAAAAGTGTACAACCTACATATTAAAGGAAAATTGTGTATCTGTGGAACTAGTTTAAACGTCAAAGTTTTTAAATTTTGAAGACTTATGTAGCTCAGATGTACCAGTTAAGTAGCAAAGTAAACATCATAAACTTATCACTTAAATGATACTTAAACTAAAAATCTAATATTCTAGTGTTTTCTAAATTTATAGGGAATTGAGGAAGTACAGTAGTTTGCAACATAGCTTGCTTTTTCCTTGTAGTTCCTTAAAATTTAGGATTATTTTAAATTAAAAGTTATCTGCAAATGTAATATTTTCAAATGAAAAGAGACTATAACTAAACAAGATAGTGTTTGAAACATATGCTTCTCAGAGCCTAAATATATTTCAATTGTTTTTTACTTCGAATACATAGAGTTAGTTATAGCTATTTTTAACTCACTTACCTTGTGCCATAATTTCACAAATTAGCCACTTAGGGATTTAGATTGTATGAGATATTGTCTGTGGATGATCTGTTGTTCATTTTCAGTGTCTTTACATCATAGTCAGTGCTGGGGGAGGAGTAATGTCAGTCTGTTCTGTAAAGAGTGCATTGGACCTTTGGTTGTCTTGCTTGACACTGATCCAAGATGCCCTTCCTTTTGAAAGGTCCTTTCTTCCCATTGTCTCTGTAAGTGTCTCTTCCTCTGTCTTGGTTTAAGACTAGTTTCATTATACTACCAGTTTCTAATATGTTGGGTTTTTTATTCACTATTTGATATATTTTTTTCTAATATATGTTTTTGTTTTAGCAGGTAAAAGAATCATAACTTAATTGTTTTTTAAAAACAATATTTTCTAATAACTGTCTTTTTATGCATTTTGCATGTCGACCTTTTTCATTAACATCTGAGATCTTTTATGAAAAGAAGGCATACTCCATGTTCATTTAACAAGCGCTTTTCTGGGAGCTAAATTAAATATTAATAGGTTTCTTTCCCTCACCTCACTGTCCCCTAAGAATGGTGAATCTTTTAACTTTGGCTGCATCCTTAAAAGCTGATGGTTGCTCAGTCTAACAAAACTAGGGTCACCAAACTTGGCAGCAGAAATAAAGTTAGTCTTACTGTGATATCTACCCCAATTACTTTATTATTTTTCCAGCTTAAGTTCAAAACATTTTGTGGAAATATTTGATACTGTTTGTCATTTTCAGAACTTCGGGAGCAAACAAATCATTTAGTGTTCGAATGACTATAAATTGTCTGAGAGAGTCAAATTTCAATACAGTTGGTTTTTTCTAGACATTTGCCCATCATTAGAAACTAATTATAAAAAGTAAAGGTTTAAAGTGTAGTTTAACCAAAACTAGGAAAGATAAAGGTAAGGTAGCTTGGGTGAATTAGAAGCCATCTACTTTGCATAAATTCTTCAGATTTTAAATGATGACCAGTTTTTAAAATTTGTATATGCTTAAAAATCAGTGCTGGGACCATAGATAACTATGTCTCTCTCATGTACTTATAACTGTCCATGTGAGTTTCTTTATTCTAAAACAGTAACATTTAAAAAGAAAACAAAAGTCTATTCCTTATGTTTCAGTTATTCACAGATGTGGTTATATTCTCATATATTTGTTTTCTCTGCTCCAGTGAGATCATCAGCCTTGTGTTTTTTATGAATGATTTATTCTATGTTTGGAATAGAATTAATTAATTTATTAATTAATTTATTTATTTATTTACTTATTTTTATTTTTCCCATTACCATTTATCCTGCTTATGTCCTCTTCCACCACCACCCCAAATGCTGGAATAGAATATATTTATTATTTCCTGGATTGTCATGGGATCGATCAACACATGTTCAGATTAATCCTAATGCATAAGTAAGCATTTTCTAAATGACCTCTTGAACTCAGTAAGAAAAAGTCAGACAAGGACCCTTGCTGTGCACTCACAATTTAATTTTTTGTGTTGCTATGTGATTTTGTGGTCATTTGAATGTGAATTGGCTTTTTAATTGATGACTTCCACATAGTTGACCACTTTTCAACTGAAATATGTATATGGAACTAGTCTTCTGTTGACTACTCACTATTATGAAATTTAAAATGCAAATCTCGCAAAACTAGTATGTCCTAATCTTTTTCTCTGCTACCAAATTTGGATAATCTCTGTTTTAAGAGTAAATAGAGAACACTGAACTAACTAGGTGCTCTGCATGGATACAGGCTCTGATTTCTCCTCATTCTTTCCATGGATTCTTAAGCCACACACAGTATGTTTCCCTGCATTTTCATGTCACTCCTTGTACGGATAACTCTTTAAAACTCACTCCCCCCCACCCCCTTCTCCTACTTTGCCCTTTACCCAACTTCCTTATGTGCTTATTGGTGTGAAACCCTGGGACATTTAGCCTATTCAATAATAGCCCTCGACTTGTCCCCCTGTTCCTCCAGGAAAGGAAGTTCTTCAAAGGCTTCTTTGGAAAAGTAAGTTTGATGCCACACTTGTGCTTGCTTTATAAGGAGTTACACCCCTAGTATAGCACTGATGTATTTAAAAAAAAAAAAGAAATATAGCTTCGGTACCTCTATAATACAGGAATTGATTTGACTATATATGGAAATTAATGAATTAGAAAGTTGCTATCTATGATATTACCTATGTCTGTTGATAAAAAATCTGATGATTCCTAGGAAAGCCCAATAAATAAGTAAAGTAGGTTAGAAAAGGACTGTCTCTTTAAGACTGGGTGTTAAGTTTAATTTGATCTCGTGAAACTTTATATTAGCATATTAGCTGAATTTTTAACAAGTGGGTTTTATTTACTGTTCAGTATTGACAGAGAAATGGGAGAAATAATTAAATTCAAGTGAAAATTAAATGTTTCCCAGCTTTTATACTCAACACTGTTTTTTTCAATCTAAGTTAAATTTCAGGTGAAGTAATTGAAAGTACATAAACTTATCTTTGGGGACCCTATGATTTTTAACCCGGGCTACTTACTTATCTAAGAAAAACCATCTTGATTAGTTTATTGAGTATCCGTCATATGTGGAGTGTTCTGTAGATGCTTTCAAGCAATGACCGTTTAGTGTTCAGATTTCCTTAGAATTGATGTAGGTACAAGTAGGTAAATACACTTGTAACATTTTCGTGTCCACATTTACTTTTGAGTGTTACGAAATAGTGCAGACTTCGAAAGTATCAGAAGAAACTTGTGTCATTGGATAGCAGTGTAAATTACTAAAAGTTTATGTGAAAATAAAAATCCCATCACAATTATTTTTACACAGGTTTTATTACTTTGAAAATTTGTTTTATAAAACAGTAGTTCCCTTTTCCTTCTCAAGTAAATATTTTAGTAATAACTCATTTTTACATGTTCTTGTTTAGGGTACCTTTATATTAATGTAAACAAATTTGAAAACTTTTAGAGTGAATGGTTTGATTTAGTTATTGCTGTCAATCTGAAGTAAAAAGTTGTAGAACTGACCTGCCACACACGTCACCATAAAATTTTTAATAGACGTTTCGAGTCTAAATCAAATTAACGGGTCCATAGTATCTGGGATCATATCTAGAAATAACTAATTCTATAAACATTTCCATTATTATTAATTGGAACTTCATTGCTAAGGAAATGTTTTTTTGTGGAGTGCTTATTCTTTTCCAAATAGAATTTCTCAAAACAATTCCACATCCCCACAATTATTACACAATTTTTATTTTCCAAGTGATTAGTTTTTAATATGTCTACTATAGTAAACCTTGTCTATGAAGGCTAGGTTGTTGAAATTTACTCCATATATAAACATGTTAAAGGTATATTTTTTGAGGTTTATAATACGGCGTTGAGAAACAAAGGCAGGTCTTGTTTCAGAATGAGTCCCAAGGCGGCAGTGTTCCCCACTGTCCACAGTGGGGCCCCGGCCCCCATAGAGTAGAGCCGGACGGGGCCACACCACACTTCATCGCTGTTTTCACTGCATTTCGACACATGACAAACCTAGATGACATGAAAATGAAAATTATGAATCATCTCACTTCCTCTTTACAACAACCTTGAAATTATTATTCTCCCTAATTTGCAAGAAAATGGAAGTTTTACAGAGGCTAAGTGACCCACCTGAATTCACAGATACAGTAAACGGGAGAAGCTAAGACTTGAACGCAGATGATCTGACTCTGGCGCCCACACTCTTAATCACTATACTGTATAGTCGCTCTGTTTCCATATCATTTACAAGCAGACTTTAAAAGGTTCAACCCTAAAGGATGCTAATAAATAAAGAACTTCCTGGAAACTTATTTTTACTCCCTGACTTCTTCAAAGGTAGTAGTTCACTTTGGATTTGTCTCTAGTTAATTTACTTTTTTATTAGTTAAAGTTTTAAAGAGTCTTTTTTAGTGATTCGAATTAACATACTTACTTTAGAGATATTTAAATCATATTAGTGAGTTTGACGCCCACAGGATTTCCTTCAAAGGTGCTAAGTAATCCCACACTGGCATCCATGTACAAATGTGACTGTCAGAGAGTTTTCTTGATGTTATTGCAGGGGAGTTCTTTTTATGGCAGGGCGATTTTATTCTAATATACAACTTAAAAAAATTACAGTAAGTCATTCAGAGAGTTTGGAAAACCGAGTCAGGGGAAAATAAGCATCAATCATAATCTTAATTTGAACTGTGCTTTTAAATGCAAAGCTTAACTTTGGAGCCTTTTAAATCTTTCAAGTTGCCATCATTCAACTCAAGTCCACACTGTTCTACAATAAATAAGCTGGTGAAAGAGAATTGGCTGTTGAGTTTGCTAGGTCAATTGTGGTTTGACGAAAGCTGAAAATGAAGAATCTCATAGAATAGTATGTGATGGGGAGTTTTTAATCCAGCACAGTTCCCCATAAAGTTCGGTTTTTTTCTTATCCTTCACATCATGTGTGACTTAATGGTTCAGCATAATGAGAACAACAGGTATTAAGAAGTGTTTCCATCAAACACATTTGGCATGAAAGTAGGTAGATGTAAGAATTATTAGCTCCGATTCTGAATTCGTAAGTCATGGCTGGAAGGACTGCTGCTGCTTTTCCCTAAGTTGCATCCTGGACCTGACTGCACAGCCACTTCCTGTTCCTGCCTCACCTGCTGTTGGGAGTAGTGCCCCCAGAAGCTCCATCCATAGGGACAGACACTGGCTCTGTTATTAACCCATTGTAAGTTTATACACATCTTAAAGGAGATAGGGAAAAACTGAGAACCTGGAATAACTTTTCCCACACTAGCACATTAAATTGCTCATTATTTTAGGGAAGTCAAGAATGTAATCAACTTTTTAGGAAGTGTTATATGCCTCTTCATTTGTGTTTTTGTCTGTACTAGACCAGTACTTTATTACCAAGTAATTATATAGGGCATTTAACATTTGAAAAGGATTTTATAATTTTAATGTATTTGAGGAACCGCATGAGCTAAGTAATCTATATTCCCTTTTCTATGAGGAACTAACTGAACACAGAGACATAAAATGCTTAAATCTCCATGTTAGGTCTCTTTTTAAAGCTGTTGTATCAGAAAAACTCCGTTCATTATACCTCCTGTAAGTCTTTTTCCTGTGTCCCCCGTATTATTCACACAGAATATTTCACTTCTGGTCACCAAATACGTGGAGACTTTTCCCACACCAAGCAGTTCTCTGCAACACCAGCTGGGTATCCTGCAGTTGAACTGAATTCTGACACTGTCTACCTGGAGATAGTGTCAGATGCACAGGAAAGGGGCTCAGTCCTGCAACACCGGTCCCACCTCATCTCAGATACCAGCTGCAAGTATTAGGTCCCCAGGTTGCTCACAACTTCTGTCCAGTTGTTTGGCTACAAATCAAAGGTTCCCATGACCTCTTCCTCAGGTTTGATTAATTTGCCAGAGCAGCTCACTGAACTCAGGCAAACACACCAGTTTATCAAAGGAAGTGGTAAAGAATACAGATGAGGAGCTACATAGGGCGAGGTCTGGGGGATCCCAAGCTCCAGAGCTTCTGCGCCTGTGGAGTTGGGGTGCATCACCCCCCCAGTGTGGATGTGTTTGCCAACCTGAGAGCTCTCTGAACCTCTTACCTTTGGGATTTTATGGGAGCTTTCTCGCATAGGCATGATTATTATTCCATTTTTAGTTCCTCTTCCCTCTCTGGAGAATGGAGGGTGAGGCTAAAAACTCCAAGCTTCTAATCAGAGCTGGGTCTTTCTGGTGACCAGCTCTCATCCAGGGGCCCTCCCAGAATCACCTCATTAGACCAAAAGATGCTCCTAGTGCTCTTACCACTCAGAAAATTCCAAGGGTTTGGGGAGCTCTGTGCCAGGAACTGGGGACCAAGACCAATATATATTTTCTGTTATCTTACAGGCATTTACTTATGTTTATATGTAGTTTTATAGGTTTTGATATTCTTTGACCTACTTTCTAATTTGCTACTCACAACACCTCCGTGAATTAGACAGGATAGTTCATGAAACTACATTTTACAAATGAATGAATTAGCTCAAAGAGGTCACCCAGCTAGTAGTCAATGGCAGTGCCTACCCTGGATCCAAGGTTTTCTGAAACATGGTGCAGAGTCCTTTCACCTCCCCCATACTAATGTTCTGCCATTCAGAAGTGTTGGCCTGTGCTGTCCTCAGGTGGACCTTAGTTAAAATGAATGAAGAAGGGCCCAATGCAGAGGACACAGATTGAGGGCCCGAATGCTTCCCACAAACGTGTTGTATGGCCTGTGCACAGTTTATAACTTGGAATTAGTTGCCAGTATTCCAGACATTGAAATCTTGCACGTAAAACCTAGGATATGTTCAAAACAGAGATACCGACCTGCGTTCATGCCCACATGCTCTGTTTTCCCTCTTATTTAAGGGGTGAGCATGCTGCTGGCTGCGGCCAGCTCCTCCAGTGGATTCTGATTATTCCAGCTCCTGTTCATTCCAGCAGTGCTACCTGCCTCCTCCACCACCAGTTTTCTTTCTCTAGTGGATTGTCCACTAATGTGAAAACAAACCATCCTTTTTAAAAAAGGTTTCTTCTTAGTGCCTAGAGTTCCTCTTCCCCCTTCCTTTGTTAAACCCATTTAATCACGTTGCCCTCATCACTCCACCAAAGCTGTTCTTGTCCGTTCTTCCTCTGTATTACTATTCCAGTGGTTTCGTCACCTTATTCAGCCTATCAACAGTTGATAGGATGACATAGCCCATTCCTCCCCTTCCTTGAAACACTCCATTTCTTTGGAGTTCAGGATCATATTTTTGGCTTTTTCTTATAATGCTGCCTACTTTGCTGTTTGGTTTATATATGCTACCATCCTTATTTTGGGGGGAAAGCCTTTAAAGGCCCTTTGCACTTAAGAAAATGCAGGAAATACCGTACATTAGTGTCCTGGACTAAAAGTTACTGTATTTTCAGTGAAGCAGCCTTTAGAGATTGTGGCAGTCTCAAATCCTAT